CGTGTTAATGGAAAGCGCCCTGAGACAAATTTGAGTGATTTACTTAGTAATATTGTTACAAATGATAATCATAAATTAGCCTATATATTGCCTCCTAGAGTTAATGTATCTCGGAACAAGAGAAATCCTAGGAACTTTTGAAATTCCGAGGTGTAAGACAGATTGGTTCAAGAAATCATTTATAGTACATTTCACTGACATTTTTAACTTAGATTCGTAATTTTATATTTTGCTTAATTAATCTTGTAAATATAACATAAATTTTACGCAGACTATCGCCCGTATTCTAAAAGCTCACTCACACTCAATAGGGCCATTTATACGGGACAAAATAAGGCGCGACTTACATAAGACGCGATTTAAATAAGACGCGAGTTTGTCGTATAAAAGGTACAAAATTCTTATGTAAGACGCGTCTTGGATAAGACGCGTTAAGCATAAGAACAGGACTTTTAGCTGTTCTTATTTAAGTCGCGTCTTAAATAAGAAATTTTAGACAAAAACCCTAACTACACATGCCCGAAACTTGAAACAACGTAAAATTATTAGCCTTGCATATTAAAACAAAAACAACCGAAACAACATTATAGCTATAGCAAGTAAATAAGAATAAAGCCGTAGAGAACCATTTATCCGATAACTCCGCTTATATAAGACGCGTCTTATGTAAGTCGCGACTTATTTTGTCCCGTATAAATGGCCCTAATGAGTGGAAGTTCAATCAGAACGGCTTCTCTGAGTTCTCTCGAGTGCCATTGCTATTTTGAATAGCTACCCCCTCCAGCTACACACATAAAAACGCACAAGTTGTTACAGGTCTGCAAAAAAGTTGTTACAAGTCTGTGCAAGCTATTAACAAGTGTCTTGCCTGCTTGTTCTCAGTTGTTGTAACAAGTTTGGAACAAGCTGTTAACAACTTGTAACAAGCTTGATGGCACTATCACACTTGCTACAAGGTTGTTCTAACAAGTCTGATACAGTCATGATTTAAAAGAATGTTACAAGGTTGACGACACAAGGTTGTAACAATATTGTTATATCATGACTGCGATCGGATTTGTTGGAACAACATTGCAACAAGTCTGATAATACAAACAAGGTTGATGCAAGCTGTTAATTATTAACAGCTTGTTCCAAACTTGTTGTCAATTTGGAACAAGCAGTGCGAAGACAAACCTGTGTCTTGTTGGCAGATTTGCTACAAGATGTGACATTTTTGCGTGTGTTGTGTAATATTATTCAAAACGGCATTGACACTCAAGAGAAGCTCAGATTAAACCTCCACTCATTTGAGTGTGAGCTTTTAGAATGCAAGCGTAAGAGTTTTTCAGTATAATTCAGTTTTTGAATGCAAAGCTGGTTTGTAATAAACGATTTATCTGTCTACTGATATCACTGTACGAGTTTTGTAATTTAGTTTTGGCAACATCTCTGGATAGATCAACCAAATAACAAATTCAAGATTCTTCCAACATTCAAAATAATTATTCATATTCACACTTAGGCGGTGACGCCAGACTGTAAAGTTTTGGCTTTCGAGGAAATAAATTTAATCCCCGTGCGCAATCATTCTTGCAATTATGGAAATCTGCGTATTCAAATTTAGAAAAAAACTGCCAATAATTTCTGAATCTGCACAAATGCCTAGGCTTTGTGAACTAAGAACCAAGCAAATTTAGGATCTTCCTCTTTGAGAGAACGCATTCGAATTCTCATGACGGCTGAAAATACCCAACATTTCTGCACATTTTTCCAGAGTAAAAAACCTATTAGGCCGTGGGCTGTTGCGCAAAAAAAGTGCCTAGAAAAGCAATTCCGTGGCACCCTCCTGGGAAATAGATTTTCTGTGGTCGTTTCATAGAACCATAGATGCTTAATTACCACAAAAAGTTCCCAAGCAAAAAACTTGCCCAACACCGAGAAAATGGGTGATCAGTGATTATCCTCTATTAAATTGTATTACAGCAAGAAAATGTGAAATTTTGTATTCAATTACAACAAAAATGACTTGCATTATCAGAATGCTTACAAAAACCTACATATAATACATTTAAACAGTTTTTTTATATCTAAAATTGTTTTCGAGTTATACGCTGTCAAAAACGTGTTTTTGACCTAGTACCCAGTCCTTATTGCGACATTTTGGTCCAATTTTCACATTTAAAACAGCAATAACTCAAAGACTAATTGAAAAATCAAAAAACTGTTTAAAAGTCTTATATGCGGTTTTTTGTACGTTTTCCGATGATGCAAGTCATTTTTATTGTAATTGAATACAGAATTTCCCATTTTTTTGCTGTAATACAATTTAATAGAGGATAATCATTGATCACCCATTTTCTCGGGATTGGGGAACTTTTTTCCTTGGGAACTTTTTTTGGTAGTGATGTACCTATATGCCTTTCAAGTATTTTCCACATGGGTGCCACGAAGCGAAATAATTTTGGCTAATGGGCCCACGGCCTATATGGAAAACGCTAGTTTGATTTATTTTTTAAAAATAAATTAATTCAGAATTCTCACGCCAGGTAAAATCGTTAAACACACGCGGGACGGTACGAAAGGAAGAAAAACGGAAAATCACGATAAAATTAATCCACGCGGCCCACGCAACAAACATCGCATTAAATGAATGGTATTCCGCCTTGGACGTCATTATAAGGAAGGTTCATTATGACAAATCGATGACATCGAAACGTCGTTCTAATAAAATTATTTAAAAATGATTTTCTTCAAAAGTAATTGCGACAATTACGAAGTACCAATTACTTGTTAAAATGTAATCAATCATCATATTACTTTTTATTGGGCGCTAATAAGATTGAACTGCTATAATCGAATGTCTAAATGCAATATGCACCTAAGTAACGTGCACCTAATAAAGTTGTATAATTCAATTGTGTTGTAGTTACTTTGAGTCGAATGACCAGTTTATTTAACCCTCGACAAACATTCAATCCATTGCCATTTCCTTTAACATATTGAGGGTCTTTATGTGAAAAAAAAATGTTTGTGTCATTAATAACTACAACACCATCCTCGTTCCCAGGGCCTCTCGGCCGAGCGCGACCTTCATATGATGCACTGAACAGTCTGAACCGGAAGTTCGAGAAAACTGCAGTAGTTTCTAAAGCGCATACTCTTGAATTTGGACTCTTTTCCACCAGTAACAATTCTCAAAGAGAAGTATGACAAAGAAACGAAGTATTTATGATAGAATAATTTTGCCTAGCGTAAACTGTCCGTCTGCGAAATAGCAATTCTCTGAGTAGCCAATCATATCTCTCCCTTTAGTCGTCTAACCCAGAGCCTAATTTTCAACGAGTGAAAATGGCTCTGGGGACGAGAATGTTACAACACCATTCTCGTACCCAGAGCCCTTCTTACGCGCGGTCAACGGAGCGCGACGAGGGGCTCTGGCCAAATCCATTATCCCATACCTGTGTTAAAAGCGGCTTTCTGATTGGTTTAGAGCAGGTGAGCTTGTCGTCGAGCTCACCTGCTTTTTTCGAACTCACCTGCTTTTCGCCCGAACTCACCCGCTAAACTGCTTACGTTGCAATAACAATAACAAATATGGCGGACAAGATTTAGCCGATAAACCTAAACTTTAAAGAACTTTTTTCGGTGACTAACATACTGAGACTGAAGAAAAACCAAAGAAAAAATGCAGTAAAGGTAATGTAGACGTAGATAAAGAAGTATTTTCTTGCCCAGTGATTTTTTTGGCCGGGAAAATGTTCACAAAATATCGACGAATATATCGCGAAGAGCTACAAATGTGTGTATGGCTCGGTGTATGGGATAAAAACCAAACGTACTTGCAGGTTCGGTGAGTCTGGGATTGGACGCACCTCGGGTGGCTGGAAGTTTCCCGAACTCACCTCGCTTCGCTCGGTAAGTTCGGGAAACTTCCAGCCACCTTCGGTGCGTCCAATCCCGGACTCACCTCCCTGCAAGTACGTTTGTTATATAACCGGATACCATAAAAACATAGTAAGAAAACAATGTCCGGTGTTAGAACTAGCCAATCAGATGCCAGTTCGGAATATGGATTTGGCCAGAGCCCCTCGTCGCACCGCGCGTAAGAAGGGCTCTAGGTACGAGAATGGCAATCTCGGTCCCCGAGCCTGCGATCCTCGGGAAAGAACGCGAGGCTCTGGGATAATCCGTTGCCGGAAGCCAAGAATTCTGGCTAGGATTGAACTACGCATGCCATTTCAACGGCCAATCAGATTCCTCCCTGAAACGGATTATCCCAGAGCCTCGCGTTCCTTCCTGAGGATCGCAGGCTCGGGGAACGAGATTGCGAGAATGGTTACAACACTTGACCCATCCTCGTCCCCAGGGTCACGCTCGTTGCTCTCGCTCAGTGGGCAACGAGCGTGGCACTGGGGACGATGCACTCGACCAATTAGCTTTCCCAAGAGATCACAGTGCATTCTGGGATCGTTTGGAGGGACAAAATATGTGGAGACCGGCGTCAAATAAACGACCAAAAATGAAATATCTCCTTTTTACATTAAACATTTAATTTAAGGCCCCAGTTACACGATACCGGATTCGCATCGGAGTGACATCAAATTTTACTGCTTCGAGGTGAATTTGGCACTTAATATAAGATGATATAACATAAGGGACCGGTCATTAGTTATGGGGGGGGGTGGCACCGAAGAGAAAAGGGTTGGGTAAACAAAATTTTGAGTGAGTAAAAGGTTGGGTAAATGAAAAACAAAACAACTCAAGGGTTGGGTAATAAAAAGTTATTGTCATTGCCAAAGCATGGCTCACTGACATTTTGGAGACTAAAAAGCACTGTCAACAGTCATAAGTCAATACAATATCACTCAATATGTGAATCAATATCAGAGTCACTATCTTGATCACTGTTTTCCGATTTGTTGGGAGACAAATGGTGTCTTCAAAGAACGTACATGTGCAGACAACATGAAACTTTAGACTGCACAAAATTTCACAATCCGTTATCAAACTCATCTCACAGAAGTGGTAAAGAATATGTGTGACAACTGAATGGTATCTTTTTGTAACGTTTTTGGACAGGGGTGGGTATTTATTTTTTAATTGATACTTGAGGTTGGGTAATCAAATTTTTTACTTTTTAATGGTTGGGTCAGCAAAATTTTTGTCACGAAAAACATTTCTCTTCGGTGCCACCCCCCACCATAAATGACCGGTCCCTAATTAAACAAAAATTTCATATATGAAAAGTTGTAAGAGCAGACAAGACTGGAAAACACCTTAAACTGATGTCGCTCCGATACGAATCCGGTATCGTGTAACTGGAGCCTAAAGCCGCGTTCACACTAGCGGCCCAGGCCTGGCCTGGGTCTAGGTGTGAACGGGTTTTACCTGGCCTGAGCGTGGCCCAAGTCAAGAAATCCAGGCAAGCAAATGTAGGTGGCCTGGACCTGGCCTCGATCATCACTGGTGTGAACGGGTTTTTCCTGGGCCTGGCCTGGGCGAGGCCCCGTTACCATCGCAATATCTGCCCACGATAAAAACTGGTCAGATGATTGTCATACAATTGGAGGGAAAAACATTCAAAGCGCGAAATTAAATACTTTAGTGGAAAACAAGGACGTTTATATTGACGCCTGATTGCTTTGGCCTGGAGTTGGGCGTCAAGCCAGTGTGAATGCGTAACAATTGGCCCAGGCCAGGTCAAGGCCAGGGCCGCTGGTGTGAACGCGGCTTAAATGTGGGACGACATATTTCTTGTCCCTTCAACATGGGGATTCGCACGACTAGACCCAGGACTTTTGGAAATGGCTAATTATAAATCCCTGCTCTCGACCTGTAGTGGCACAGGCTCATAAACACTTATGTCGCATAAACACTTCGGTCACGGTAAATAACCTATACATATGTGTATAAACGAAAAATTAGCTCTGCTTTTTTGGGAGTTCTGGAAAACGAACCTTATATGGATTCATATGGCTGTAGATTTTTGATATTGACAAAATACGAGCAACAAAACTATTGCTATTGAAATTACAAAAGTAGTTTCAACAACAGTTTCCTGGAATTAGTAACACACTTTGCACGCTAAATTCACTCGAACTAGCTTTTTTCAACATACAGCAATGTTGTTGCCTGTATTACTTCACACTATTTAACCTATCAAAAACAGAAAACAGATTTATACCATTTATTCAACTATTGCGTCATTATTACACTCAAAGTTTCGTTCAAATGGAAAACAAGAAGTATCAATAGTTCCTCCTCCATCGAACGGGCATTATTCTCAACAACTAAATCTCAAGTGCAAAGTTCCAGATAGTCAAATTATTTCTTTGCAGCTTTCTGTGCAGCCTTGGTTACTTTACCAGCACTTCCATCGCCCTTTTCAACACCTTTTATGATGCCAACGGCAACAGTTTGCTTCATGTCACGCACGGCAAACCTTCCAAGTGGTGGATAATCGACGAACGTTTCGACACACATAGGCTTGGACGGTATCATTATAACAATGCCAGCATCACCTTTCTTCAAAGATTTGGGGTTTGCTTCCGTCGTTTTACCAGTTCGACGATCGATCTTTTCTCTTAGTTCTGAGAACTTGCATGCAATATGAGCGGTGTGACAATCCAAAACAGGACTATATCCAGCATGGATTTCACCAGGATGGTTCATAATGATAACCTGATGGAAAAAAATGTCATGTTAAGTTAACCCTAAGAATCCTACATTTAAAAAAAAATTATGCACATTCCCTCCAGGCCAAAAAAAGAAATACATGGGAATGAATTCCACATCAATTACGGCAAGCACAGATGGCACACAAACATTATTAAATATTATATCAACTTTGAAACAAGCAGGTTATACTAGCTAGTACAAAAACTTATTTTTATTATCAAGATTTTAACCTTAATATTCAGTTCGTATAGTAGAAAAATTGTGGTTGGTATCAATATATATCACTGGTACAGTATCGAGGATCATGATTTTGAACAGTAGGTATTATTTTTGCATGTGCATTTCATCACAGTTGATTCGATTGATTCTTGTTGTAATAAATAAAATCTTTGCTATGTTCATTCGGAGACAAAAATAGTGCATCTTCAGTTCAAAATCTACTATTCATGCTGTATTGTAGAAACAAATGCAAATTTCGACCCCTACCAACAGACATATTTTACAATTAATTCTATCAACTAACATACCTGTGCTGTGAAATTTTTGGCTTCTCTTGGAGGATCATTCTTGTTGTCACCGGCAACCATTCCTCGCTTTATCTCTTTTACAGAAACATTTTTAACATTGAAACCAACATTGTCTCCAGGGAGGGCTTCAGTCAACGCTTCGTGATGCATTTCAACCGATTTTACCTCAGTAGTAATGTTAGCAGGAGCGAACTTTACAATCATGCCTGGTTTAAGAATTCCGGTCTCAGTACGACCAACTGGGACAGTTCCAATTCCTAAGTGTAACAAACAATGCTTTTATTGTTGGACGTCATTTTGATATAATCATTTTATCTTCATTCTTGGTAATCTTATTTATTATATACATGACAAAATTACCGCAGTCTGATTGGTTATTAAAGAGGAGTGCAATTATTTCATTAATGCTTGGGGTCAAAACAACAAAAATCCAAGATGGCAGTGAAATTTATCTTGTATAAATACCAAACGTGGACGAATTTAACTAAATTTTGGCACAAGAATGAGTTTAAAAACATAGTATGGGAAAAAGAGCCTGGAAACAGTTTTAAGAAATAATCTCGGCGGGATGCAGCGAAACGCGACTATATAAGTCAGTAATACAATTTATAAAGATTTTCTTACTCTAAAAAATATGTGTTTGAGTTTGAATCATGTGTTCTTCTAGTTTAAGTTATGTGCCTTCATGAGTTTATGATCATTTCCCAAGTTTGGTTTATGCCAAAATGCTTACAAAAGAATTAAAACTCATGACAAAATGCAGTTGAATTTTAAAGAACGCGATTTTGTCATTAACTCGTGATATTTGAAAAATCTGCCAAATTGCACTCACCCCGGCAGCTTGTGAAATTTTGGTACATTTTTCAAATATCACTGGTAGTGTTAATCACTAATTGCACTCCTTCCCATGTGATTACCTATACTACATAATGGTTGAAATTTAACCAATTGAGTACCAACACTCCCAAAAGATGTAAAAGACTCTGCCCATAAAATGAAATGTTTTGCAATTAGCGATGGTCACAAGGTTACAAGCGAAACTGTGTTTATAATTTATGAACTTTAAGCATGTGTCCTCAAAATTTTGTTTGTAAACTTTGAAATGAAGGCGGCATAAAAATAGTTGTGACTGTTGCAAATTGCAGAACATTAAGTTTATGGCCACAGTTTCATGAAATCCATAATATATGGCAAAAAATATAACGTTGTGCGCAAAGATTGCTTATACGCAAAAGGAAAAATTGGACATTCCAGGGTTCGTACATGTCAGGAAGAGTCAAATTCAAGGACTTTTCAAGGACATTCAAGGCCATGTATCAGCAAATTCAAGGACTAGATACTGAAGAAAAGGCATTAGAAATCAGTAAAATCTGACGTTGAATTGTTCAAAACGTAACTTTATAATGAGGTCAGATATGAACATGCAAAATCAGTTCAACAAAATGTCCGTCTTGAATGACAAACAATTTCAGAAAAAATCCAAAAACTAAAGCAAGAAGAATTCAAGGACATTCAAGTACTTCTTAACAAATTCAAGGTCATTCAAGGCCTTGAATTTTTGTTTTCAAATTGAAGGACATTCAAGTTTTGTACGAACCCCGACATTCATTATGCACAAAGATAAAAACAGTCCTCGAAATTAGCGACGGCGAATGCCGCCGATAATGAAACTATCGACGGCAATTTTTCGCATTTATACCTTCTTTATTCGATAGATTCTTCTAAATTAAAAGCTTTGCTGCTATATTTTATTAATATGAACAGATGACTATGATTATCTTTAGTTGTTCGTTCCTGTGTTTACTGAGATTTCGATACACGATGACTAAGCCGTTGTAACTTACCTTATTTGTTTTATTCCTTATTTTTCTGCTTATAGTCATGCAGGGTCTTAGCTAAAAGTCTTCACTAAAAGTCTTCGCGGCCAAAAGTGGAAAAACACGGCCAGATATATTTATATAAGGCTGTGTAGAGGTTCATAAAATTAGGTGGTGCTACTCACAACAGACAGAATTTCTTCCTATTTACGTTAAGAAAGTTTGTAAAATCTACTGTTGTTGTTGAATTGGCAAAAGTGATTCGTGATGTTTTAATTTTTTGATGGATAATGGGAACTGTATGGTTTCAAATACTCCCCAAGAGTTGCTGAAATAACTTAATATTTTAATGTCAGTGCGCAATACGAGTGTATGCTCGCCTTGTATTTGGTTGCAAAGCATAGAACAACACACAGGCATTGTTGTTGTCAAGCATAACTAGAACCATGATTTTGCTGTTCAAGGTAATTGACATGTGCACGCCCTGGCCATTAGAAACACGCCCAAGATCTAAAATCCTAGCTAAGACCTGTAATCATGTTGTATAGTTTCTTTATAACATTGTTACAAACAATTTTAGAATGATGTTGTGTAACAGAGTAAGCAAGTTTTTTAAGTATTGAGAAGCAAAAAATGCCATTTAACTTTTAAAGACAAAAAAATTGCCGTCAAACTCTAAAATATCGATGGCAATTTTTGCAGAACCTCATCTACAAAAACAAAATTTATGCTAATTTCGAGGACTGAAAAACTTTGTTTACTCTAAATACACACTTAATTTTTGTCACCCTCTTGTGCCATGAATCACTACAACTAGAGAATTTCACCTCCAATTTATTGGATGAAATATACTCTGGGTGATACTGAATTTTTGGGAATTCACATCCTTTAAACTAATCTCCTTATATATGCCTATTGCAAATATAAAGTATTTTCCCTACCTCCAATTTTATACACATCTTGAAGCGGCAGACGAAGTGGTTTATCAGTTGGACGTTTGGGTGGAAGAATGGAATCCATTGCTTCAAACAAGGTCTTGCCACCTGCATTTCCCTCCTTGCGTGTAATGCTCCACCCTTTGTACCATGGCATTTTATCGCTAGGTTCAAGCATGTTGTCACCATGCCAACCAGATATTGGAACAAAAGCAATAGTATCTGGCTTATAACCAACTTTTTTCAAATACGAGCTGACTTCCTTCTTGATTTCTTCATAACGTTTCTCACTGTATGGTGGTTCACTACTGTCCATCTTGTTCACACCTACAATCATCTGCTTCACACCAAGGGTGTAGGCTAATAGAGCGTGTTCACGAGTTTGTCCATTACTAGAAATACCAGCTTCAAACTCACCAACACCACTGGCCACAATCAACACTGCACAATCAGCCTGAAATAAAAACTTCAAATCAAAATTTGCAAAGCCAAAGCACCCATCACTTAAGACATTGGGTTGCATGTAGAAGTGTGGATTATGTCAGAGACAGATTTTCATATTTTCGTTCGGGGTGGGTGGGTGGATAATTATCTGGGGGTGGTGGTGCTGACGCTTGCTTTGGCAAGAGCCTGGTGGCAACGCCTGGAAAGGACAAGGAAAAAGTTTAACAATTTGCTAGGCCTGCATGGTGAGATTTGAGACCATAATATTGGTAATTTTACAAATTTAGTAGTAAGAATAATCAAATATGAAACTATCAAATCAAAATATATACAATTTGCGGGGGTGCAAAAACTTTTGGGGGTGGTGCTAAATGCCTCTGAGGGGGTTGCAAATCAATTCTGGGGGTGCACACTCCCAGACAGAAAATCTGTGCCTGGATTATGTTCAATTTTACTTGTGTCTGGCAAATGTCAGAACAATAATGGTCATCTATTCAATATTTATGTTCAATTTTTGATAGCTAGTGCTGCTGATCACTCAAGTCTTCCCACATTTTCAATCATACTTAAGTTTTTTAAGGCCAAAAAAAAAATATGTGGGTTTCCGGTTTCCCGACCCTACCTAGCTTTTGGACGTCAAAAATCCAGACCCTAAACTTTTTTATTGGATCATGCTTGTAAGTGTTTCCACTTAGAGGAAAAAGTTTGTGGAAAATTGAAATTTGAGGCAATATTAGGGAAATTTATTTTTGGATGTGGAAGCACCAACTAAACAAAATGGCGTCCGCTTGTTCGGAAAATTAAAAGAGTTTAAAAAAAAAGTTAAAACCGACCTACCCTACCTAAGTTTTTATAAGAAGAAACCGGAAACCCACATATTTTTTTTTTGGCCTAAGCAGTCCAAAGGCCAAGTCTGTTTGAGTGTGTGGTATTTTGGAACAAGTCCAGTACCTTCAATACCAATGTGTTATATGATCTTGGCTAGCTAGTAACTCCAGACAAAAGGCCTTTGCTCGAAACGTCGAAATTCTCCTTATGTTTTTTTCAGATAGTTGCATCCCTACCAACGAAAGCTTGTTCATATTATTGGCACTACCTACACTGGCACAGACAGTTCAAGATGTTAACAAACCTGCGATGTTCCTGTAATCATGTTCTTGATAAAATCACGATGACCAGGGGCATCAATAACAGTGACATAGTACTTCACTGTTTCAAATTTCCACAAGGCAATGTCGATGGTAATACCACGTTCACGTTCAGCTTTCAGTTTGTCCAACACCCAGGCATATTTGAATGAACCTTTTCCCATCTAAAATAATATTATGACTTAATGGTCAATATATTTTCAAACACTCCAGAATTTCTGGAACAGCTCAATATACCATTCAAAGACTTTCAGAGATTATCATTGGCAGTTACTTAGGTGAACTTTTTGGTTTCTAAATCTTGGGATTCTTCCTAAGGAAAACATAGACAGGGGTCGAAATGTCCAGGCGCCAGCCAAGTTGCCAAATGCGCCATGACATATAGTCAATATTTTTTTCAATATCGCAACTGTCTATAGCAACCAAAAATTTGCCAAAAGTAGTGATGGAGATATCGTGAGGAATTAGTTGATATTGTTTCACTGAATCGAATGGTGGTATTGTCTTCATAGCATGCACTGAACCGAAGATATGAACATACAAAGTCTTCAGCTTCTAGAAGCTGACAATACGTGGGACTTGTCGAGAAAGAGTTGTCAAACCATCTTGCAATTCCATTCACAAATGTATTTAATCATCTAGAATACCTTCGGCACTCGCACCCCCCCCCCCAATATTTTGCAAAATTTCCACCACTTACCAGATCTTTGGGTGACTAAAAAATATTTAAAATGTCAATCCCTACATTTAGAGCCAATCAAAGAATAAAGTTCTTACCTCAGCCGCCTCTTTCTCAAACTTTTCAATAGCTCGCTTATCAATTCCACCACATTTGTAGATCAAATGACCAGTGGTGGTCGATTTGCCAGAGTCCACATGACCAATAACAACAATGTTAATGTGAAGCTTCGCCTTTCCCATGATGCAATTAAGAGTTTGAACAACCTTAGTAGTTGAGATTTAGTCTAAAAGAAAAACATTGACATTAGGAAAAAAAAAAATATGTGGGTTTCCGGTTTCCCGACCCTACCTAGCTTTTGGACGTCGAAATCCCGACCCTAAACTTTTTTATTGGATATGGTTGTAAGTGTTTCCACTTAGAGAAAAAAGTTTGTGGAAAATTGAAATTTGAGGCAATATTAGGGAAATTTATCTTTGGATGTGGAAGCACTGACTAAACAAAATGGCGCCCGCTTGTTCGGAAAATTAAAAAAAATGTTAAAAAAAAAAGAGTTAAAACCGACCTACCCTACCTAAGTTTTTATAAGAAGAAACCGGAAACCCACATATTTTTTTTTTGGCCTTATTAGTGTTTGAATATTATTGTGATGATAATCTCAGGGTTCGAGGCATTTGCAAGCCGAGTTTTGGCATTTGCAAATCTAACATTTATTTTTTACAAATCAAAATTTCTTAATAAAATGTACTCGTTTTCATTTTTTCGCATTCAATGTTTTTTTTTTAAACACATGTGAAATAAAGCTGTGCGGTTCCAAAATTTTTTATCTTGGTTCCTGTTTTTTTTTGGAATGGAAAAACCACGGTTCAGTTCGGTTATATTCAAAAAAGAAGAACAATACAAATGTATGAACTCATTTATGTGTGTTTCGAGCATTTTTACTAAATAGATTAATTTATGCCTTTGCAAGTTTGCATAAATCTCTGAATATTTTAAAAGAACAATTGGAATTTATTTATGAACATGAAATATTTCTTTTTAAAAAACATTTAAAGCAAGTGCACAACAATAACTAGGCCAAAAAAAAATGTGGGTATTCCGGTTTCCTGACCCTACCTAGCTTTTGGACGTCGAAATCCCAACCCTAAACTCTTTTATTGGATCATGCTTGTAAGTGTTTCCACTTAGAGGAAAAAGTTTGCGGAAAATTGAAATTTGAGCCAATAATAGGGAAATTTATCTTTTGATGTGGAAGCACTGACTAAACAAAATGGCACCATTTGTTAGGAAAATTTAAAAAGTTTAAAAAAAAGTTAAAACCGACCTACCCCACCTAAGTTTTATAAGAAGAAACCGGAAACCCACATATTTTTTTTGGCCTATCACAACTAAAATATCAACTACTTGAGCACTTCTCACACACAGCTGAGGGATGCTGCACACGCAAGGCAGCCTGACCTTTAATCAACAAAAATATCTCATATTTACAATAAACGGATCCGTACAAACTGCAACTCACTAATTATCACGTGTTGGACTAAACCCAATTCTAGTTAGCACACTACTGCAACTGCATAATAACTAGGCACTACCTGCCAATAGGGTGGGTGGGTGGGACACAGGTCAG